TGGTTTAACTAGCAGTTCCTTTCTATTCTAAACATCGTCCGTTTTACAACTGAATTCTGTTATTGCTGCAATATTCTGGAAATCATGTGAGAATGTTTGTGGAGTTTCTCGACTGCGCGTTTTCCGTTTAATTCCAATGAGGAATGGGTTACGCGAAAAAGCCCATTTTCGAATGTCATCTTCCGTTCAGACGAATTGATCAGTATTCTTAAGTATTTTTCAATATCAGTTATTTAATACTTTACTGATATTTCGTTCATCATCTCCATAAGTCTCCATTTTCGATTGCTAGGATGACCCATAGTCGACTCGTCTCCAGTCCTTTGATTTCGCATTGTAATAGAAGTGTCTTTTTTATGTAAGGCTGTGCATTTCTTATCTTAATTGCCTAGTATTAATTTAGTCAATTGTTGTTTTATTCCAGTGTACAGGTTCTTTTGCTAGCTGTTCCTTCTTTAGGACACTTTCGGGGATCGAGATGCATATGAAGAATACAACATGAAGGACGAAAAACGGCATGTTGGTAAATATGCGTTGAACTGCAAATGAGTAAGTAGAAGGGTTGGGAACCATAATAGAGTCTCGCGTAAAATCTCATGTCCTTCAGTGGTATTGCTGTCATTGAGCATTATACCGGCTCGGTCGTCGTTCGGGTTACCAAGGCCAAGAAGACTGTTGCTGGACTGAAACAGACTGCGAAAAGTTGGCGATTACAATCTCCTACCCTTTTTCTCTAGGAGGAGGCGTAGCCGCACAACAGCTGCTGACGAAGATCAAGAAAGCGACGACCCATATACCAGTCACTAATGAAGTTGCAGTTCGTTCTGAACGGAGAAGGCAGACAGCGCGATGCCATTATAGCACGTCAGAAAAGGCTTCACGAGAATGACACCGCCAGTGTGAGGTTACAGTCGGAAATTGGAATATAGCTTCTCTCAGAGGGAAAGAGCAGGAGTTAGTTGATGAGGCCGTAAATTACCAATTCGACATAGTTGGACTCTCGGCCATGACTCCGGAATTCTGAACCTCTGCGGATGGAAGCTGTTCTACTCAGATGTCGACATCACGACGCGCTCAGGCCGATGTTGATGTTCTGGTAGAACCGAACCTGGCTAATGCAATCATTGATTGGAAGCATGCATCGGAGAGGTTGTAATCCTATGACTGAAGCTACAGCAGGCTAAAGCGTTGACTTTGGTACAGATCTATACGCCCAATATGGAGGGAGTATATGATACGTTCCTTCAGGAAGTGCATTGTGTTGTTTACGTAGTGCTGAAAACAAGGTCCATTATGAACACCTTCTTCAAGTATCGAAGAGTACATCAGTACACCTGGTACCGAGAAGCTTGTGCACAGAAGTCGATGATCGATTTGATAATCGTATTGTCTGACCTAAGACATTCTGTAATGGGTGTTCG